GTTGCTGAGGCTTCAATTGCTGGATTTTCAAGTGTGTTTGTGCTGTTCAGTGGAAGTGACTCACTTTCACTAGTGTGGCAATTTGTGGGATTGCTCTCATTTAATCCATTTTCCGATTCATCCAATGAAGCCACTCGAACGGGGCCAAAGCTCACTCTTTTCTTCCCTTTGGATGGGGGTGATCTGGAGTTTCCATTCAACAGCACGCTCTTCAGGACTTGCCCGCTATCTCTTCTTTCATCTACCTCATCTCGCATCTTGGTCTTTCTTACAGGCGCCTCGTCATCAGATACTACGTTTATCTCTTCATCACTGTCTCCAGTTGGTCTTTCGTACTTCCACACCTCTTCCTGGGAGAATATGGTGGGATGTGTCCTCGGCTGATCCCCTTCCTCCACACGGAGCTTCAGACAGTAGGGATGCATGAGCTTCACCAGGCTGACGAGAGAAGTCGAGGTAAAAACCTCGACTTCGGCATCTGCCTTTTTATTTTTGGGATGAAACATCTGGCCTTGTAGCTTAAACATCTGTGACAGACCGCTTTTCTCTAGTTTGCCCTCCTTGCCTTTCTCCCCATCACTCTGAGTTGTGGATGCTGTAGTTGGTGTTTTAGATCTTGGTCTAAGTCTCTGAGCAAACGATGATCCCTATTAAAAATGAGAGAGAGGAGTCTCAAGATCTGCAACTGCTGCGAGTAACATGTCACTTCCTTCCTACCTAAACATATGTTACCATGGTGATCTAAAAGAGCTTAAGTTGTGACACCGAAAAATCTTTATTTTATTTACAGACACCTCACTAACACACTAATCCTGCTTTGTAAATTTCCACTTTAGCTGATCATCATTCGTTTCATGATGAAACAGTCGAAACGCTTCTCCTACTTTTTCTCTGATTACTAGAACGGACTGTGGACAATACAAGTAATTCTTTATTCTAGTTTCTACTCACCACGGTGTTGTCCCTGTACTCTGCCTGGCTGAGGAACTTTGTGTCTGGCAGGGTGTCGAAAGGAGACAGAGTCCTGCCGTCATCCTCCACACAATCCAGCATCTCAGTCAGGGCGGACAGCAGGCGCTCGCTTTCTTCCTCAGCTCTGCTCTTGCACTGAAGCGAGACCGCCAAATCAAAATACATACACAGCCAGTGTGACTGAGTGAAATCATTTAGATGAATCTGCTTTGACTCTGACCTCCGATGCAACAGTGGAGTCTTCCAAGATGGCCAGGATGGAGTGATCCACACAGGACTGTGTGTCCATGTCCACGCCTTCCACACCTGCCCTGCTCAGGACTGGCTGTAAACACAGGCATGACACTTCCATGTCCATGTTATACTGATTTGCATGCACACACATTAGTATATTTACACCTCCTGCTTAATAAAAAACAAAAACCCCAAAACACTCATTTCCCTGGGTGTGACCAAAAGATCAGGAAGCATGACTCTAACTCCAGAGCGAAAACAGGAAGTCCCAGTTCTGACAAAAGTTCAAAAAATTGTGATCAGATCTGATACTTGAATTGTGTTTAAAAAGCGAGTACTTGTCTATCACACATAAACCCATACTGACTTATGTATCGTCCTAAATGAAATGCTGTTCTTACAGAACATGATAGTTTGATTGCTTACTGCACTCAGCACTATCTGTAGCATTAGAGCAGCTGAATGGTGGTGCAGCTAAGTTGTTTATTAGTTTGTGGAATACAGCGGTTGTGACTAAAATATTAAGATTGTCCATAATGTTGTCCATTTCAGGGTTTAACATAACCAACATCTCAATGATTGTGGGCCAGTGAAAAAAAGTGCATCACGTGGACAATAGTAATGGACCACATCTCTTAATCTTCAGGTTCAGTCCTTCTGCCAAAGGTGCATAAAATCAAGTATCTAGCGAAACATTTACAAACATTCGTGAAGAACAGTTTGCTGTAAAGAGCTTAATGAATTTGAGTGAGCTGCTATAATAGGATGCAAACCTTTAACAACTCAGTTTGTGACATTTCTCCTCTCCTAGATTTTCCACAATCAACTGTAAATGGTATTACTGCAGAGTAGAAGCATTTAGGAACTTAGCTCAGCCACGTAGTGTCAGACCACATAAAGTTACAGAGTGGGTCGCTGAGGTGCACAGGGCACAAAAGTCTCACGTGCTCTGCTGACTCAGTAACTCCACAGCACCAAACCTCCTCTGGCATTAACATCAGCACCAAAACGGTCCACCAGCAGCTTCATGGTTTTGGTTTTTATGCCAGAGCACTTACTGTAAGTTTCATTTGTAGGTGTACCAGTACTTTTGTCCATATAGCTACTTTCATGAGTGTTTTTCTTACATCATTATTCACAAAATAATTTTTTTAAAATTGCATCTTTGGATAGTTTAAACATAAATGAAGCCATCCTTAACCACTCCCACCCACCTCCTCATTACTATACAACGAATAGCTCAATCAAGAAGCTGGTGAAAGGAAAGGTGGCTGTGTTACGTTGGATACTGGGTCTAATAATTTGACCTAAGAAACCCTTTAAAATACTATTTATTTTTTAAAGATTTAAATCTGTGACAGCACACTTATAACTCACTGGGAAGCAGGAGTGCGCATCTTTGTTTTAATAGTATTTCATTTTATTAACAAACTTTGCCTATTTTTTGTGGCCGCTGTTTAAAAGACCCCTGCAACTATTTTAGGGTCTAAATGTGATTATGTGGCTCATGCTATTAAATCAAGAACTGTGCTGGGGGGTTAATACATATACTATAACTAAACACAAAGAGGAGCGGACACTCAGTCAGACAGCAAAGGATTTTCTCTTAAAGGAAAGAACAGGAAAGCGAAACCTCAGTTTTTAAGATCAAGTTGTGATGAATGAGTAGGAAGCCGGCTAAGGCCCTAGAGGCGGGTGTAACATCTGTACAGCACCTCTGGGAAGTGAAGCAGCTCTCATTTCCTGCACTCCTCTAACCAAGCATTTGCTTGACAGGGCAGCGGTTCATTTCTGTGCCTGGAAATATGTTAAAATTAGGCTTCCGGCAATCATGCAAGGACAGCAGCTGAGGGATAGTTGAGGGAAGTAAAGCAGCGTGGGTCGTACGGAGGGCGCTGCCTTATCTGAACATCTCGTACCTTCGCGGGAACTCACCGGCTTCCCTCCGTTTAAACGTCTAAACTAATAAACATCAAACTAGACACGAACAGCCTCATTAACTAGCTTGTCATTTAGCATTTCCCGCATCCAAACCGTCCAAATGACAGGCGGATCGATCCGCTCCTTGATCATTACCTGAGTAGTACTACGAGCTCGTTTCAGCCACGTGTCGTTATTCGCGCATGTGGCCTCGAGCGCAGGGGAAACACGCCCGACTAATGCACCGAAACCCGCCACTATGCGAAGTATTTTATGACCGATGAGCTAAAGTGAGGAAACCGGTACCTCGTTGGGGGTGTTGCTGGCCATAAAGTCGCTGTTGCCGGCATTTACTTCCCCGTCTTTCCCCCTCCACCGCGCCGCCATCTTGCTTCTCCACATGGTCCGCTGGCAGGCCGGAGGGAGACACGTGGTCACCGGTTGGAAGCGCGCGAAAAGCACTGATCTGAGATCGGATTTAACTCCGTTAATCAGAGCGAGGACGCGAGTAGAAATCAGATCCCAGGTCAGCTATCTGCTCGTCACGTTTCTCATTGATTATTAATTAGTTTTAGCTTAAAAAATAGTTTTAGTGACCCACAAAGCGAGACGAATTAGGGACAAATAAAGGAAGCATGTTTTGAAAATGAAAGGTAAAATAAAAGGCAGCTTAATAAAGGAATCGTTTTTCTTTTCTTTTTACAGGATCGTATTCAGAAGCACTTAAATGTTTCTGGACTGCTTTCATTCCCAATTATAATCAATTCAACCAAATAAGTAAAAATTAACTTATTAAAAGTTGATTCTTGTTACAGGTTTAAAAATTTCATTCATTAGTTATTGCTCAAAGAGACACCTTGTGGCGGAAGAGTCTTGTTACAGATGTTGTGTACAAATATAGATATAAGTGATAGAAAATGTGAACTCTATAAAAAAAACAAGTTATAAAACCAATACACTCAAAGTGAAATGTTAAATTAAAATAAATTATTCTAATATGAATATAAGTGAAATATATAAAATATACCTGATTCACATCAGTATCTATCTAGTGAAGTATCTAGCAAAGTGAAAACACTATTCAGGATTTCTGGCTCTTTAACTGATACCTTTCTTCTTCTTAATTTGTTCCTGAGGTTTTGCATTAAGATTTCATGAGGTACCCTACCACTGCTGTAAGAAGACCCACCCTCACAGCCTCCACAGTCTGGCCTCGCTGCTCTTCTTGCTCCCTGCTGGCTCTGGAGAAAAGATCTCACTTTGTGCAGAGAAGGACACATGCCACACAAATATGTATAATTTATAAAGTAGCATTTTAGCGAAATAAAGGCAGAAACAGTCGGATACAGCTCAGGCTGCCTGACATTTGTTTGAATCTGTTTTATGGCATGAAGCTTTGATGGAGAGAGCACTAATGGTGTAAGTGGGAGTTATCTTCTAGTGCTTTATTATCGCTGGTGTTATAATTGCTGAGAGTGTGGTAAAAATATCAGTGCAAATGTTTGGCATCAGCAGCTTCATAAAATGTTAGATACCATAATAAGCTAATGGTGACTGTAACCTCCTGGTTTCTGCCCCATCTACAAAACGGACTAACTGATTGTGCGCATGTTCAGACATCACAATATTTGCTTTGCCAGTACTTTCCGTTAGAGATTAACAACAGTTTTACTAACTTGTTTAACTTGAAATGGGACCTTTGTGAGCTCCAGTTTTTCCAGTTTAGTCTTCACATGGACTCGAGGTCACAGAAAGCTTTAAATGAGTTTGATTGATTGTATTTATTGCTTGTTACTCATATAGTTCGGTGTGATTGGTGCTTTGTTTTGTTTCTTTCCTCTTCATCTTGTGCAGCTCCACATCATGTTAAGTCATATATGAGAAATTGTTATTATATGTCTGAGTAATAAATACAACTGCTCAAATCAGTATTTTCAGCTGTGGTTGATTACATTTGCATATTCAGTACATCAACTATGTGCTTTCCTCTTGTTTCCTTTTCTATTTACTGTTACACTTTGTCTCTATTTGATTATAAAGTTGAGCCAATCATTGCTTAATCATTTCTGCAGGAGCTGAAGAGTTTGCTTGGTTTTGATCTACCAACAGATTGTTGTCTGTTTGTTGCCTCTGTCTGCACCATAACCAGATGAGGGTGACCGTCAGTAGTTATAATGTCTCCCCATTTTGTGTGAGTCTTCACCTGCATGTGATGGCAAATACACGAAGCTTCAGACTCTGATCAGGTGTGGCTATATTATATTATATTTTTAGTTTATTAAGGAACTCCCTCATCTGTCTGACTCTGCCAGCCATTTGCCTCATTGCATGTGAATAAGCTGGGAAGAGGAAATGAAATAAAGAGATCTGGACTCTTATTACCTAATAAATATTAAGCTTTAAAAATAGAGATCTTTATTCACTTTTTTATTCACTTTATTCACCTGGTTAGCACTAAGTGCAGGATTTAACACAAAGGTCTTTTGTAAATGTAAATGTTAGATCTCCACCAGGTGAGAAGAAGCTAACCGCCCACCCACCCAAGTGCTGAACTAACTCACAAAACCTATGCGACGAAGCACGCTATGAGCTTTTCATAACTGACTGGATATTTTACGTAAAGGAGATCCAGTGGTTTTAAGATAAACTGCCTAATTATTTGTCTCTGTACAAGCCAGAGGAGAGATATGCAGCTGAAGGTCAAAGTTGTTGTGCACACATCAGATCCTTTTTTAAAAATTGTGCACAAGTTGTCATGCTGTATTTCCTTGAGAGTGTGATGCTAATTCTTCTAACATATTATCCCAATAGAGCACCATCTCTCCCAGACTGCAGGCTTGCTTGTGTTTTCCAGAATTTCCAAAAATAGAGTGGGAGGCAGGTTTCAGCTATCAGACTCCTGTTCGTGGAACCGGCTCCCAGTTTGGCTGCAGGAAACAGACACCCTCACTACTTTCAAAATGGGGCTTCAGCTGTCTTTTTCTTTAAATAAAGCTTATATTTAGGGCTCAATCTGGTGACTGTAAACCATTTTTAACTATGCTGCTATAGACTCAGACTGCTGGAGGATTTCCCATAATGTACTGAGAAGTTATTTTCACTCCCCAATGTGTTTATTGTTTGTGGTCTCTCTGTGCTCTTGTTTTTTCTCACCTCTTATTCTTGTCAATCAACAACAACAACAACCACAAGTTGCATGTAGATGCTCCTCCCTGAGCTTGGTTCTGCTGGAGGTCTGTTCCTGCTTGCTTACAGGGGATCACCTGATCATTGGGATTGCCCCTCTGATATAAGAGAAGCTTTACTTGCAATAAAAAGCACCTTGAGATTACTTTAGTTGGTGATCTGATGCTAAATCAATAAAACAGAATTAAACTGAAATCAGCTGAATTGAATACTCAGCATAATGAAAGTCAGACAGATTAATTTTATAGCATTAATTTTACACTTTTATGTGACTGACATAATTTAGGTCCTGGCTATTTAAATATATTTCAGGGAGAAATATCTCATGTTCCTATTTTTGGGTCATGGAGGTGGAAATATTCCACTGCTGCAATGTATTTTCCCCACTAGATGGTGATATTGTACACCTGCTATTACGTTCCACTCGTTCTTTTGTTTTCTATTGGATATCAGAAGTTGTGAATCAGTTCATTCTCAACTCCATACCAGCCACCTACAGTTAAAGCTATTTAAATTGCCATAGGCATTTGCATTATAAATGTCAAGGTTGTTCACCTTTCTGTTTGTGCTATCTCGTATTATCTTGTCTTTTTTTCTCCTGTGGAGGACTGTGGATGTGTCTGTCCTGTTATCTTGTGCATACCAGGAAGGAGCTGACCTTTCTGCTGAATGTCATGGTGGAGTCAATGGCTGCACCAGATTAGCAGGGAGGAAAAATGTACTCTCTGATATACAATTTTAACAGGGTACCACACATAGCCTGCTCATTTATAAGTCTGCCCGATATGTACCTATACTGTACGTCATGTCTACCTTGCAGTCTGCTCAGCTTGTCGCCTGTTTCCCACTCTTTTTGTTGCTTTATATAGTTTAATCCCCTGTCTTCTTCTGTTCTGTTGCTTCGGGTCTCTTCAGCTGCCACACACCGACGACCTCCCACCTCATCTTCCACAACTCTTGAAACACATTACTGCCTGAAATGGGGCCAAAACATCCTCCAGTCTCCAGTGTGAGTGTGTTCAGGAGTGTGCAGAGGCAAGTGTTTGTGTGTGTGTGTGTGTGTGTGTCAGGAGAGGCAGTTCTGTGTAAGTGGGTCACCTTACTGCCGCATCCAGCGCACAGCCACCCTGCCAGTATATGTCCCCACAATCACGAACACCCACATTTAACCCACTCTTCACACATCACATGCCCCCACTTTTATCCTTTTTCTTCTTCATTTTTTTTTTTATCCCTTTTTAAATGTATTCCTTAAAAATAAGGAAAATATAAAATTCACTCACTAAGTTATTTTATGTGCCAGCCTTCACTTTCATTTTTGGTGGGAAGAAAAGCTCTCCTGCTTTTCTTTCATGCCTCATCTGTCCTGTACTTCTCATCTTTTCCTCACTCTTGACCTGCAGGAAGACTCCCACGGTGCTCTTTTGGCATGTTTGAATTTTTAAAGAACCCGTGAGGTCTAAGGAGTCGGGTATAAGCTTTCCTTTATCACTCTAACTCACACTTGCTGCATTTCTCTCTGTGTGTGTGTGTGTTTGTCTATATGACTTCCAGTCGTGTTGGCTGCTCGGTCATGCAATGTTTTACGTGTCTCTTATGTGACCTTTCAAATATTGTGTAACACTGGGAGCAGTGTGTTATAAAAAGGCAAAAGCACTCTGATCTTTAACTTGACACCTTCTCTATGGGGGAAAAGCAGGACATACAGGCATTACTTTGGAGACTGCTGAGTTGGGGAGCTCTGTTGCTTTCGTCCTCGTTTGATTTTTTTTTTTTTCTTCTTTGCTTCAAGTAAGTCTTCTTTTTTCTTTGCTTTCAAAGCAGAGTGGAGGAATGCCCTCCCACATGGTTCAGAGAACATCTGTTAGTGAGAAATGAAGGCCTGAGAGAGAAAGAGAAGGAGGGGGAGGTGGTGCAAGGGGACTTACATTAATACAGAAGACGAAAGGAGGTGAAGAAAGAACAGGAGAGCATGCGGAGAGGTGGAAAGGGGAGGAGGGAGAGTGACAAGACCTCAGCTGGGGGAGACCACCCTTTCTGCAGATCAGCAGAGGTGAGACTATCCAGAGGTATACCGAGAGATAGTGACTTACAGGTGCGCATGTTTCCGTGCACGTATGCATACAAACACACTCGGCATGGTAACAGAAACCTACATCAATAATGTAGCTGAGAGAAACAGGATGCAGTTTCTGCCTTACATAAGAGTTTACAGACGGCTGGCTCGCTCAGAACAGCCTCTTTCATTCTCTGCTTTGCCCTCAGGCTGGATGCACACAAGATTTCTTGAGCTAATTAACCACCACATTTGCCTTCCAAACAACTTTAACAGATAACTATGCAGCAACAAAGGCATGAGAGTGGCACTAAAGCCATTTTTAACTTCAGTCTACTGACTTTAGGTGATTTGTTTTACTCTCTAGAGCAAAATTTTTCAGCAGCGCTTCTGTAGCTGCTAATTTGCTGGTTCCTACATTATTAAAGTATTGCAACAGGCTTGTTTCTAACAGGCATGACTAATGACCTGGGAAATGAACTTTTGTCTTTGCTGCTGCGCACATACTGATTATAGTCAAACCTGGCAGCACCTAAGCGCGTGGCGTGTTTAATCCAGGTCACAGAGGGTCACAGAGACATGATAGAGGTTCAGTAGGACTTGGTATATTAATGTTTGATGGGCTATATCCTGTGAGGTAAAGCTGAACAAGTCAAAATCTACTTGAGCATTTTCTAAGATGGCAAACATTACATCAGCTTTACACGAGTATGTTAGCAGCATACTGACTTCAGCTACTGTTAAACGTATTCCAACAACATTTTTAATACTTTTTAAGTAATGCGACACAAATAAGAAACTGTTGCTGTTGCTGTAACACACTCTTTAACCTATATTTGAAAAAGAACGGGCAATTTTAGTTTTTTGTTTAGGGGTGGCTGTAGCTGAGGAGGTAGTCCAGGTTATCCGCTAATAGGAAGTAAGCTCGATTCCTGGCTGCTCCAGTCTGCGTGCCGAAATATCCTTGGGCAAGATACTGCTTTCATGAGAGTGTGAATATGTGTGAATGCTAGATAAAAAGCACTTCTATAGAAAAAAAGCGCTTGCACAAATGGGTGAATGAGACTTGCTGTATTAGGGCCTTTGAGTGCCCAAGTACAAGTGGGCCTGTTAAGTAGGTCAGTTAATAAGCTGACTTATTGAGGAAGAACTCAACATACATACAAGCAGAGCAGTACAAGTCTAAACCAGTTGTGCATACAATTATTTAGAACTTCACTAAACAAACCTAAAGTTTTTTGTAAATCCAGAGAGTGAAACAGAAATAAAGTATAGTGCTGATGTGGGAGAGTGTGAAACCATAAATCTGTATGTTGGATTTATGAGGGTGATGAAGATTAACAACCTGTTATTTCAGTCGTGGGGCTGTGAAAATCACCATCACAGGAGCATTTCTGGCAACTTCATCAGTTTTGTTCCTCTTGTGGTGTCAGCTTGGGAATTCCTGATATACCTGCTGTATGCTACCTGCTGTGCACCACACACAGAGTCAGCAAAATGTTGACCGCCTAGAGAAACTTCCCTCAAGAGCTGTCGGGCATCACGGGGGAGCAAAAAAAAATGATTAAATATTAAGCTAGCATTCATCAGGTGGACAAAAAAACAAACAAACACACAAACAAAAAAACATTTCAAATGAACATTAGTGCTGCTTTGCATCTTTGGGGTGCATAAATTGGCAACTGCTTGCTGATGCATTAGCTATAACAAGTTATTGAAGTGATAATTTGTCAATATTGTTTTTGGCTTCCGCCAAATAATCAGTTAATGCTGGGTTTACTGAACTGTTTTATAGATTAGTGAGAAAAAAGGGGGTAAGAAGAAAAAAAACAAGTTAAAGGAAATGCGCATCATAATCCAATAAAGTCTATTGTAAGGCAACACAGCAGGCAACGGTGATACTTGATTAGGTATTTAAAAAACTGCTTTCTTGTTCTCCTTTGTTATTTTCTTCTCCGGTGCCTTTTCTTCACCTTCTTGTTTTGTGTTGACTGCCTGTCTTTTATGCTGTAATCTCCCTCCACGGCTTCCTTTGTCTCGGTTATTTCTCTGTTATGCAGGCTTTGACTATCTGCAAACTGGCAAATTGTTAATGCGTGCGCATGCCTGTGTATAAATGATTGTTGTAGAGTTTAAGACGGCGTGCTTTCTGCCCGTGAAAGTATGAACTTGTCAAATATGTCTCCATGAAACTGTTAATGTGGGCAGATACATGTGTGAATCACAGTTTTCATTTATAAAATTGCGCGTGTAGAAGCTCATCATGCTTGTGCTATCCTTTTTCTGCCACATTGCCATGGCGACAGTGCCCTCCCGGGGTAATGGGGGACGAGTGCGCCAGAGCTATTTATTCTTTCACCCTCCCTCTTTCCCTCTCTCCCTCCATCCATCTCCCTCTCTTTTCCTTCGCGTGTCTCTCTCTCTCTCTCTCTCTCTCTCTCACCACCTCTCTCACTCACTCCATCTCTGCCCTCTTCCTTCTGCAACCTCGCCGTCTTTCCCTCTCTCCTTCTCCCTCCTTCCTCTGCTCTTTCTTCCCCTCTCTGATTGGCTTAACGCTCTCCTCCTCAAAATGAGATGCTGCCTAATGAGACAGAGGGTGAGGAAGAGAGGGAGGGGGGGGGGACAAAGAGCAAGTGTCTTAAAAAAGGCAAGTAGGAATATGTGGGGGAGGCAATCTACGCAGACTTGTGTTGCATGTAAAGAGAGAACCAGATTTAACAAAACTCTGTGATGTCATTCTGGAGGGAAACGGCACGCTCTTGTTTATAATTAGACATCTCAGGAATGTGCGTATGTGCAGAATGTGTTGTATTCAGTCTTAGGATGTCAGTGGGGGTCATGACCTTTCTAATGGCTAAAATCCCTGAATAAGCACAATTTATACACTGCTCAGCCACAACCATTAAAAGCACTGACAGGTGAAGTGAACAACATTGATTGTCTTGTTACGATGCAGTGTTCTACTCAGAGACCTTGCCCTCACCCCAAACCCAACCTCAGGAATGGCTGAAGAACACAATAAAGAGCCCCTATGTTTTGATCCCGATCCAGGTGAGCATCTTTGGGATGCAACAGAACAAGACCAACCCAGCACCCAAAGTTGCTGCCAGGTGTCAGACATCGCAGGAAAACTCCACATATTCTGATGGGCAGAGCTGCTTTTGCAGCACCATATTATAATTGGTTTAGCAGTGTAGCTGATTGGTGAGTAGGCGTTTATTTTATTTCTAAGGTCAACAAGAAAGATTTTACCAGTATTTTACGAGAAAATAACTGCAAAAAATTATGAATATGGAAATAAAGATAAATTTGGGTAACTAAATTCTACAGTAGCAACCAGAGCTGGTTGACTTAGTGTGGAAGCAAATGGTTAATTTGCATGCAACACACTATAAGCTTCTAAGCTCCTAAGCTTCCAACTTGCAAGTCTTAAGTTATGAACTAATAAGCGGCATAAAACCAGCTAACTGCTAATTAGTGGTAAGTAACTTATAAATACAATGACAGAACTTCACATGTCAAACCCGAGCACAGATTTCTTGGACAGCCTGTTAGTACAATTAATTTGTCTTATAATTGCATTTGCCTTAAAGTGCTCCAAAAGGCGGCAACACCCACACTTGAGAAGTCCATTTCAGTGACTTAGATTAGCTGAGGTGAAGTGTAGCAGACCTCCATTAACTGTAGCGGCCTATGTTTGCATCTACATCAAAGCAGACCTGTCACTAATAATATTTTACGCGCCAGG